CACTTGACATTTTTCTTGAGTAACCAAGAAAGATGTACCGTCATCTCGGCGTAATTACGTTAGTACTTGTGCAAGTACGCCGCTAAACCAAGGAACTTCCTCAGTCCCTTGACATCGACTGGCACTGGCCATTCGGTAATCGACTTGATCTTTTCGGGATCAGGGCGTACGCCGTGTTTACCCACGATGCACCCAAGAAGTGATATTTCGTTTGCCGCGAATATACACTTCTTGATGCTGGCATACAACTTTTGCTTGCGCATAAGTTGAAGGACTTGACGAACGTGAGCTCTATGAACTTCAACGTCCGTCTTTCCGTCCATAGCCCGGCTATGGACGAACACATCGTCGAAGTAACTCGGTGCGAAGTCTCGCACCGGTCTCAACAGATTTGTAACACATCTGTTGAATGTTGCAGGGGCATTGCTCAGCCCCTGTGGCATCACTAGCCACTCCCACAGCATCCCGCTGGGGGTACTCACTGCCGTGAACGGGATGTCCCGTTTACGCATGAGGATCTGATAGAATCCATCCATCAGATCCATGGACGAAAAGATGGTACTCTTTGACATACTATCTATGATTACGTCCTTCCTCGGTATCGGCGTCTGAGCCGGTACCGTTGCAGCATTCAACTTGTCGAACGATGCACGATCCGCCATACTCATGTGGCTTTTCTCACACGGAAGGTCGGAGAGCTGTGAGGGGATGTTGATTCCCTCACATGGCCCGCTGCTAAGCGATCGGCAAAGAACTTGTCGATCGCTAGCACCTGTTCACGAGGCAGTGGCCACTGCTTCATGACACAGTACTTCGAGCCCGGTTTGAGCTCGATCTCGTGTCGAGTGCCTTTGTCCTTAGGCAACTCGCAAGGTACGGATTCAGGGAAACTATCCCTGAATTCGATCAAATCCTTGTACAAAGGATTTGTTTGAAGTGACTCCCAGGATTGAGACGTGTATCGCTCAATCCGAGTCTTCTCATCGAGGACACTTTCGTCCATCGATGATCTGCTGAGAACCCGTTCGTTCTCAGCAAATACTGTCGCCGACCGAATATCGGCCACATACTCATCCTCTGTGACGATTATGCAGATCTGCTTGACTTTGCCACTACGCAGATCACGCAAGAACCGTTTCGGTTCTAGCGTTGGCAACTGAGTTATCTCCAAAGTTAACTTCGGAGGCACAATCAGATCAAGTGTATAAGCGCCTACGCTTGATCCGTCATTAACCAATACGTTCAACGTCTCGGTTTCTTCCTGGGAACTTCGTTCCACAGGTTGCTGAAGGCCTGATCCTTCAGCAAGTGACTCTTGAGGACTTCCTTCCTCAAGTACGTGGGGACTTATTCCCTCGACGTCTTCTGACTGTGGCTGTGCAACCACAGTCAGGCACCGATCCTCTACGGTCGACTCTCCAGTCGACCAAGGATTTACATATTTCCCTTTGGGGCAACAGGTTTCTTTTGTCTAAGATGCTTCCCGCTAGGCATGCATCCATTTCCCGGTCCACTCGACTTCTTCGAGTGGTGGACCTTCGGCGCCGCCTGTACTTCTGTACAGCAGCCGGGAGCTTGCTCCACAGTGTAGTGATCAACTACACTGTGATCTTGTGCAGTCGTGCAAACGACCGTACCGCAAGTGAGGCCATCGCACTCACTCGCAGAACATCCACACGCTTGTGGACGCTCCAAGACATTCATCAGATGGCCATCTGATGAACAAGCGGCAGGCATCTTCACGGATCGATGCTGCCAGCTCACTCTTGGCTCGTACTTTCTGAGCCAAGGTAATCCCAGGATGACATCGAATTTGTCATCCAGATCTAGTACGATGAAGTCATAATCGTACTGTTCGCCCTCTAACGTGTAGTGGATTCCTACTACACGTTTCTCAACGGTTATCGATGCGCCTGTTGCAAGGCGCACCGTCATCCTCGTGAGGGGAATGTCGCGCTCAACGAACTTGAGCCTACGACCCTCTAGTGACTGGCGACGAACAAAGTTGTTCGACGCCCCACAGTCTACTAGGGCACGAAGGGACAAATCATTTGTCGCTTCCAACTTCAAGGTGATGAGCGAAACGTCATCACCAGGTGCAGAGACACACAATGATTGTGTATCTGGAGCAACTTTCGTCAAGAGATTTGCAAATTCTCTTGAGGTTGCTGGATCAGTAGGGAGCTCCGCCCCTTCTGACCCCGACCATTTTTTGATGGTCCGTCTCGCTGTTGCGGCTTCGCAACAGCGCTGGACCCACGTCCATTGCCCTTTCTGGCGAATGGTCGTCCATTTCGCTCAGTACTGTTTGGTACTGGGCGTGGAGCACTACACTCGTATGCGTAGTGCCCTAACTTCTGACAGCGATTGCACCTCTGCAATCGCTTGTTGTTTGAAGAGCGAGGTCTCTCGTTCTCAACATAGCAGAGGTCCATTGGTTCTGGACCTACGATCTCTTGTCGTCTCGGTGGACGATAAGAGTTTGAGCTAGCATGAGCCTGTCTCATGCTAAAGTCTTCCTGTTCCGCGGCTGATATCGCTTCTTCAAGCGTACTCAGCTCAAGGCGGAACAGATGGCTCCTGACGGGCCCTTCTGCGAGCCCTTGCTTGAACACCGTAATCAACGTGTGTTCATCAACTGGGTTAGCAGTTATACTACTCGCAAGGAGTCGTATATGTTGAGCGTAAGTATGCACATCACGCTTACCCTGCTTGAGTTTCAGTAGCTCTGAACGAGCCCTGAAATCAGCCCGTGGCGGCTCAAACGTTTGTCTGAGCCGGGACTTGAAGTCATCTAGCGACCTAAACACATGTGGGTCGCTACTCTCGAGTCCCAAGTACCAAGTTTTGGCACGCCCTGCCAAGTGGGTCTGAGCAAATGTGAGTTTCATTTGCTCATCGTCGACGCGACGAGCCCTTAGGGCTCTGTCGAGTTCGACAAACCACAGTAACAGGGAGTCTTCCGGGACTCCACTGTACTTGGAGATGTCAACGTTCATGACTTCGGGACGACGCGCATGTGCCGTCCCGCCCACAGCAGCATGGAATTGCTGCTGTCTCAACAGCTCTGTCTGTTGAGCACCGAGTTCTCTCAACTGCTCGGCCTGTTGAGAGCCTTGCTGGTGAAGCAAGGCTACTTTCTCCCTTTCGGCGACAAGTTCACTTTGAATGAACTTGGCTATAGCGGCATGTTGTTGGTCTCTGTCTAGAGACTCCAACATGGCGCTAATGGCGAACTCGCCTACGGTAGAACTCATTCGTTCTACCGCACTCCATTCGATGTCACTCAAATGGTTAAACCCTTCACGCGTGGCGTGAAAGGTTTCTTCATCATCCAACATGAACATGTTGGATGCTGTGGTCCTTGGAAGGTCTACAAAGTGCTACCAGGTGTAACGGGGCACACCCTTGCGTGAACTTAACGCAAGGATTTAGGTGCCCCGACAGTCGTACACGAGGCAAACGAGGAAGCGTAGATAAGGGAAAAGTAGAACTGTTATATTAATATAATTAAGTCTTTTTGTTACTGTCTCTCTGTTTAACCTGACTTTATTATGTTAATATAACTGAGTGTATGGTGACGTCTCGTCACCCCTCATTGCGCGCGTCCTGCGGCGATTGGTGGGTTGATATCATCAAGATATCAACCAATGAGCAGACCCTTTGGTCGCCTCACCAATATCACTACTATCGGTGATATTGTTTAAAGAATATTCAACTTCATATTCTTTATTGTCACTTTCCTCAAAGTGACCATTCCATGTAATGGGCTGCCCCGTTACAGTAAATGGTTCGTGATTGTGATCGTGGATTACCAACTTAAACTGCCCAATGCGCTTCTTGTTCAAATCGTCAAACCGTACACTTGAAAATATAGCCTGCCCCACGTCGGGATTGAACACCCTTACCCCTACTAAATGCGGAGCTTGCTGTCACTTTTGGTGCACATGAACACTGCAAAGTAATAGCTTTGATGTCACGTCCTGCTTGTTTCCGACTCGCCTAGTGTGCAGAACAGTCACAATGTGGCCTTTATTCGAAAAACTTGGGTAAAGAACAGCACGCGCAATTTCTAGACCTATATAGGTGGTGTTAAAAGGTTCGCGGTAACGGTCCATGCTGATGTGAGTGGTGTTTTACATGTCGATGTCTGTGCAGTAAGAAAGCAATCGTTGGTACACGAGCAAGAATAATGTCATCATTCAATTCTTTTTTATTAGCTTATCACAATTTTATGAAATGGACGGTGAGTGGTGGTTAGCGAAAAGTGAAAGGTCAACAGCAGCTCCCTTTTATAAACCATCAACTACGTAGATCTAAAGACACGCGCGTTTTATAAGTATCTGCGAGCCACCCGGGGCGCGCGTCCGTCATTGGTTGGACGCTCTGATGGTCGGTATATTGGCCTACATTAGTCGATATGCATAAGTCACTAAATATTACCGTATGCACTTATATTTTACTGACATAACGCGCTAATAGAACATTTGCATTCGCACTTACAAACGTCAATATCATGCGACGGGCTCATATCGTCAGCGACGGGCCGAAATCCTCCAATGAGCAAATGTAGCAGAATATCATCAGGTGGGCAATTGTCGCGTTGTATTTTCGTGTCATGTCAATTTTGCAACACGCTCGCCCTGTTCGCACTGCAGCCGCAATAGACCTCGGTCCGCTTATCCAACGCGCATGTCCTTCTCGCTCGCATCTGAAACGCGTCAAGTGTGAAAGACGCAAGAAGATGATTGAGTGATGGGTCGTGCTTTGCCCTCGTCACTTTCGCTCAGGAAGATACCCCGATAACGCAATTATGGATAGTCACAAATTATTCGAAGAAGTGGCTAAAGCGCTACAGTAACAGGTACTCGTCCGATTGCAACTTGGCTTCTTCGTCCTACCGCGACGACGAGACGTCCGTAGTAGCGCTCGATCCGTTTGAAAAGGGGCTCTTACTTCCAGTCCTTCCAGTGTCGATTGCAACACAGGGACAATTGAGTATGCCGCGCCTGCAGTGTTTGCTTTGTGCGGGCGACAACGGGCGTGTCGTGACCATTGAGGTTTCTTCGAGTGAGCGCATCGGTGTGCTCCAAGATCTCGTCCACGTCGAGCTGAACACGATGGGCTTTCAAGCGGAATCAAGCAGCATTATGAAACTCTACTGCGTGCAACACCAGAGACTAACCTACCGCCCAAATCTGACGACAAAGACGGACGCGCTGTACCTGGATCATGCTGCAGTATCGGTTTCTGACGCAAGTTGTGCTGTGGTGCTTCTGACGTTTACACCGCTCGTGCAGTGGGCGCTCGTGTCATGGTATTTCTCAGACCAGCAGTTTACCTTTCCTGACGTTGTCGACATTGTGGTCGTCTGGGAGGATGTGGAATAGGGTCTAGCGAAGGTGAAGCTTACCGAACAGAGTGGAGGCTCATTGAATGCAGATTGTCTGCAGAGATAAAGTGCACGGAAGTTGTGCACAAAGCCATTGTGTCGACGCGCGATCACAACATTTTCTGGGGGCTATAGCGCTTACACTATATCCAGCCGAGCACACAGACCTAACCTTCGACGCACCTGGACCTATGACGTAGACCTTTAGCTTGATCGTACATGAGCTTATGATAAGCCATAAAGCACACGACCTTATGGTGGTGTCATGGCTCGTATGTCGTACAGTACATGAAGGCCGCATAATGAGTAGATTGTCACGTTATGCATCAACCTCCCTCAGACTTGCAAGTCCAGGAAGCGTATGCAGTGTCAACCACAACGACTGCAGGCGCATGATCTGTTGCCACATTGTCACACGGATCCGTGCAGCGTTGCTTTACTGTGGCAGCCACCTCGATCAGAATACGAGAGCCAGCAGGAACTGCAAAAGAATGCTCAGAGCCGCCATCAACTCTCAGATAGTTATTGTCCCGTTTGCAAGCGCGCTAAGAGTAATGAATACCAGACGTTTGTCATACAAAAGCTTGCAACAAGTTCTTCGTTAAGCTTCACGCGCACTGCGTTGTTTCGGTGAGCATCGAAAGCACGACATGGCCTGCATCATATTCGAATCGTGCGAATCAAGGCACACATACGGTTGCACAGGAACTGCCGTGTGGTTCTTCCACCCACTTCATTCGTATGCGCATCCTGTGAATACCCAGCGATATCTGCCAATTCGTGCATCCATCGATCCAGTGTTCAGCTATCAGTGGTTTGACGAAACGCAGACCATCCTTCGAGTCGTAAGATGAAACGTCGCTTTGTCGCTTTGGATGACCGGTCAGTGGAGACGGTGTAAAAGCGCAGAAATACATGCAGCTCAACTCGTCACCCGCAGCGGGCTTCACCCTTTATTGTGATCAGACAAATCCGTCACTGGCGGCACATCTCGCGTCGAGCGTCCACTACACTGAGTCTCTAGCTGGGCCAGGCGGGAAAAGCGGGCTATACTGTGGCTGCTGCTGACCGGGATATTGGTAAAAATTGCTTGCCCCTGGTGAGCCTCGTTGCTGCGGCTGGCCGTAGGCTCCTTCGTGCGACGAAGGCGGAGCAGATACCGCCGAGAAACTTCCGAACGAAGGCGGGCCTCCTGACTGTTGGGATGGCGCATGGGCATACGGTTGATGTTGCTGAGACTGCAATATCGCCCAATCGTACGAAGGCGGCACTGACTCTTGCTGCGCTGATCGGTAATGTTGTGGCGTGCTTCCTGCCAATTGCCGAGCCAATTCCTCATCGCTTGCGTTTGGCCTCGTATCTACATTTCGAATGTTCATGTCCTCCATCATTTTCTGGGCCAGAGCTGCATCGTTCGACTCGCGCTTTTGCATTTCATCGTCAGCAATCAAATTCATCTCTAGCTCGCGTTTTTCGAGCTCTCGCGCAGAACAGTGGTCTGCAACAGTTTGGTGCAACTGTGCGATCCGGGCACCAAGCTCCCCGTAAAACTTGGCGCCTTCTTTCACATGCGATTCAAGCTGTTCGAAAACGTCAATAGCATCGCTCAGATGCTGGAGGAAGCTTTGCCGCTGACGCAAAACATGATCGGTCTCTTTTTTCGATTCGAAACGGGTATTTGCCTCAACCAGGTCGGTCAGTAAAGCCTGTTCTGCTTCGCATATAGCGAATAATTTCTGCTCGAAGTGATCACGGAAGAATTGCTTTTCAGTTCCAAGCGCCGTATCGAACGAGACATCTTTGCTTACGCTTCCACTCAGCAGCACGACAAGAGCGCTGAACTTGTCGAAAGAGCCCCTAGAATCACGGAGAACCTGGTCTTTCTCTTCCACAAGCTGCCCCAGTTGGAGCAACAGCGACGATACTCGCTCAATATCCTCCTTGCACTTCGAGCTGTCTTGCTGTAACTCTGGCAACTCTTGGTCAAGACTAACCTTGGACCGCGACAGTGCTCTAAGATTCGCCTGGTTTTCGTTGAGCTTCTCTTGAACTATGCCGTCAGGTACTTTGGCCTCCATTATCAGCCGGTAGTACCGATCGATATCTGCCCGAAAATTCTGGTTCAGCATGGTAGACACTGGGCGAGTCCACTTCCTTTCACCGTAATTCTGCAAACATATGTTGTCTTCGACTTCCTCTTGGCTCAGGTACGACTCAATCATGTGCAGCCTCTCTTCGGCCTCCACAGACATGTTTCGGTTCCCATGAAGTTGCAGCTCGATGAAAGCCGCTACCACCATCTCGTTTGATGCATCAATGCACATGGCAGATACTTTTGACTGGATATTTTCAATCCGTCGCCATATCGTGTGTGGGATGCCGTTATCGCCGGTCTTTTCAAACGCTTCGATAGAGGCAGGGAGTTCCATCGAGTGAAGTTTCTCTTTGACAGCTTCATTGCTCGTTGAAATCTTCTCCGCCATTTGGTCCAAGATTGCTTTCACCTCTCGTTTTGCATCGTCAGCGCGAAGTAGTAGGTCTTTCGATACGAACTGCCCAAAGATATCAGCACCTCCAAGCTCTTGCTGTATCTCATCAGTCGTGAACGGCAACGGTTTGACCATGGCAGCCTTGCCCACTGACGGTAGCTCGGAAAACTTGGGCACATTCTCCAAATACACGCTGGCATTGTCTTTCTTCGCTGCGGCAAGATGCTCTCGCACCATGCACTGCAACGCCTGCGCAGACTGTGACAGCGACGTTGGCAGCTTATTCTGCGCTGCCACATTGCATGCCTCATTACATTCCGTGTCTGCGGCAACAAGCCGCGCAATTTCCTCGCCATATCCCTGTCCTCGATTCAGTGCTGCTGTCTTGGATGCCGCTCCTTGCCAGTATTGCGTAGCTGCACGCAGACAATGCACCTGAAACTGCAAATGCACACCCCATGATCGGTCAATGGCTCCTGCTAGCGCTGGCGAGCGACAGAACTCGAGTGCTGAGTCGTAATAGTCTAGCGCCTGTTGCACGAGCTTTGCTTTGATCGCGTCCTTCATCTGATCTTTGATTGCTTTCTCGTAGAAACAAGCCTGAGCTTGGGCAAGCATCAGGTACATGAGCATTCCAAGTCCTTCCGCACTCATGTCGGGCGTTCTGACACCCACAGTCTGATCGACGATCGTATCTCTCACCTCTGCGAAAGCTCCAGCTGCTCTCATAAAGTGATGACACGCGGTCTTCAGTCCTTCAACCGTGCTGCGGTCTGTCTCCACGCCCAATTGGCTTTCCAAGGCCCCCACATTGAACATAACAGCGCCCTTCTCGAACGGAAGACCAGTCTGTGTGCTCTTCTTGCGCGGACAGAACGAATCATTCCACGTGAACTGGAGCTGCAGAGACGTCCGCACGGACGAACTGGAGAGCGAATCGGGTTCGCACGTAAAGCGCTGTGACATCTTATCGAGCTGTGCATAGTATCGCAATAGCACGCGGCGGGAGGAGGCAGATGGCGTGCGCACCAGATCCACGTCGGTCTTGAGCTGCGCAAACTCGTCCAGCGCCGTCTCGTGCATCTCCTTCTGATCTTCTCCCGTCTCGTCCGCATACTCTCGACGCAGGAACTCGCCCAGCACGCTGCGGAGCGAGGACGTCGACGTGTCGCTGAGCTTAAAGCCGATGGCCAACATGGTCAGTCGATTTCTGCCGCCGTCTGAGTTACGGCGAATTGATGTTCTAGCCCCCGGTTTAGTGACAAGCGGCTGCTCATAGCTGAGGTGGATTTTCTTCGGGGTCAGCAGCATTATTAGATATCGGTTTGCTCGATTTGACGGACAAATTGATGAAAAAACCAAGGTGAAGTCTTGATTTTTCCTTTTGTCAAAATTCGAGCTCGAAAGCTTTCAAGCATTCTTCTAACCAGTAGTTCATCATAATGTCCGTACGTAGCTTTGTCAAGGGAAGTCCATTTCCAAGCAAGTATAACCAAGCGTTGAAAAGATCCCTAGCTCACGGCGACTGTAAATTGTACGCTCTAGGCTTCCTTTTTTCACTTGCGTTGCAAACAGCCGTGTTAATCTTTTACAACGCCTGAGCCAAAAATGGTCGAGTATTAAAATTAACTCCCCGCTATCCCATCGTTTGTTGGATTCGGACATGTCTCGAAGATGTCCTGAAGATGCATTCGTCATTGCTATCAAGAAATATTTATATATGTAAAATATTACATTACGAGCTCAGAATCGATAAAACAACGGTGTAACGGGCCAGCCCGTTACATGGAATTGTCACTTTAAGGAAAGTGACAATAAAGAATATGAAGTTGAATATTCTTTGAACATTATCACCGATAGTGGTGATATTGGTGAGGCGACCAAAGGGTCTGCTCATTGGTTGATATCTTGATGATATCAACCCACCAATCGCCGCAAGACGCGCGCAATGAGTGGTGACGAGACGTTACCGTACACTCAGTTATATTAGCATAATTAAGTCAGGACAAACAGAGAGACAGTAACAAAAAGACTTAATTATATTAATACAACAGTTTTACTTTTCCCTTATCTACGCTTCCTCGTTTGGATCGTGTACGCTTGTCGGGGCACCTAAACCCTTGCGTTAAGTTCACACAAGGGTGTGCCCCGTTACATTTACCGAACCAGCAGCTTATCCGCACGGACACGCGCTGACAGCATAGCAACGCAAAGTAGTAAATTAAGCAGTTGATCGACAGAACCCAGCCCGAGTTGTGGCAGCGATGCGATGTCGTTGAATTACAATAGCCCCACGAGATGTACACTTTGTCTAACAAATCAAGCGGCTGCGCGTCCTAGCTGGTCGTTTTAACTGGAACACAATTCCGATCGGCAGTTCCTTCCGAGCAAGCAGCTATTGAGGCCGTCACGCAAGCAGAGATGTGTCATCGTAGCTGGGTGCGAAAACTAACCAGGATGCCATGTGAGGACTTGTGGTTTACTTGGTAAATTGAAAACTGAATTAACATAGGTCCTTCGTTCGCTACCATGTGCTACCTCTAATCATAACATTCTATGTCGCTCTAGAATGTTCCTAATGACGTCATAATGTGACGTCAAACTGTAAGGTCAGACCGTGACGACAGACCGTGACATCATGGCTATCTAGCTTAAAGCTAGCTTAGTCGTGCTGCACAAATCGGGGACATGACATGCCACCTATGCCTAATTCCGACATTGTACCGTCTTCAAACCATGCTGCTACACCTATGGACGCCGAAGACACTCCTGACACCATTGCCGAGAGACTGCAACAGCGCAGCAGGGAGGCTTCATGGGTTTCCTACTCACATTCATACGCTAGCGTCGCCCTTCAAGACACCGATTACACAAGCCCATGGGTTAGACGACAGCGCACCGTTCCATCTTGCCGATCCCAGCAACGACATCATGACAGAGACTCTCGGTCTGGCAATATAACCCGACCAGACGATACCGTCGATCCCTCTTCTCGTTACATTGATTGTCCTTCTGCGGATGCTGTTGTCACCATGGAATCGGAGTGCAACCTTCAGGGCACCATGAGACTTGATGAAATTGGTCAGCATGATGGTGTGCTAGATGAGCTAAATTCAGACCTCACAATCTTTAGCCAAATTCCTAATTCCGTCCCAATTCCTGCTGCTCTTGTGGCCACATTTGATTCTGAACGTCCAGCTGCTATCTCTGACTCGTCCGAAACCCTACCGACCTCGGATCTGACTGCTTCTTTCGAGCTTGCAGTTTATCACGACCAACAAACGGCGGCACAATAAGCTGACAATCATTCCCAGACTCTAATGGAGTCTAGGGTCCGCAAGTCCCCACAGAAACCTTCTTCGTTAACAGCTGCGACGTCTGTTGGGGAAGAAAATCGTTACAGCACCGCCAATTCAAGGGTGAGACAAAAATGAAACACTGAGCGCACAGGTATTGTCGAGCTTTCTCGCTCTATGCCTACGGCACCAAGTGGTCAAAATGACTGGCTACGACACTGCGCCGTAGAGCTCGCAGCCCTCGTCAAGAGTCTGCCTTTTCCGATTAATTATCGAAAGGGTCTGACGCGAATGTCACGAAATCGTTCACGCCATAAACTGCGAAGCTCAGCTAGCCGTCATTCGCCGGTGTGCACAGCATGAAGAATTCGCCGTCCGCGAGTTTTACATTGCCTGGGATGTAGTAACTTTTCAAAAGCAGGGTGCCATTAAGTGGAAACCACGGATTCCATCCAGAGGTGGACCAAAGTTCATAAGTTGCAGCCGCAATTGCTCTGCGCTACCCCCGTGTACTCTATTCTGATTGGCGAATGAGGGATCCTGAACGTTCTATGTTTGACGTTGCATTTATTTGGCGCCGGTGGATAACCCGACAGAAGTGGTGATGCCTCATACTAAGGCATCCCTTTGTCACACCTGTGATGATGTGCGTAAAGCCGTCTCAGGGATTCTTCGCACCCAGGACTAGAAGCCGGCTTTCGATCTGATAACGAACGAGAGGCGTCTTGTAGCACATTAATCGTAATGGCACCAACAGTGGATATGTACTTAAGTGGATTTGTACATCGATAGATGGACAATCTCTTACTGGGTTGCATTGGCCGCGCATTAGCGTGGCCGATGCCGTTTTTTAAATCGTGGCAGTAGCATTGTTCGGCCCCCGTCCACCCGAAAGAAGCTGACAGCTGGTCGGACAAGACATATTCTTAAAAATTCGATTGCCCTGCATTTCCAAAACGTCTAACGTCTCTCAAAAGATCATGAGCTCTGGACGCATTGAATTTTCCAACTTTCGTCAGCACGACGAGGGTATGCCTCTCGATGTTGTGATGATGCAAGAACCACATGTGGTTGAAGGCGAGGCGGCGGGCTTGGCCTCACTATATTTTTCAACCTGGGGCTTTTTACCTGCAGAAAAACTTGGACTGTCGCTGTGTTCCTAGTCTCCTCAGCGTCGTGGTGGACTTGCAATTTTACTACACCCGCATTCAGAAATACAAGAGATGACGACGTGGATGATGGACGCATGGACGCCTCACTGGATGGCTGTGATCGTTCGTATTCCCCGCGATACATTTATTCTATTTATTATTTACGCTCTTAGTGATAGACGTGACCTGTAACGGGGCAGCCCGTTACATGGAAATTGTCATTTATGAGATAATTACAATAAAGAATATTATGTTGAATATTCTTTCAACAATATCACCAATAGTGGTGATATTGGTGAGGCGACCAAAGGGTCTGCTCATTGGTTGATATCTTGACGATATCAGCCCACCAATCGCCGCAAGACGCGCGCAATGAGTAGTGAGTAGACGTCGTCATACATTCAGTTAGATTAGTATAATTAAGTTAAGTCGAACAGAGAGACAGTGGTTAAAGACTTAATTATATTAATATAAAAAGTTTACTTTTCCTTAAGACAGTGTTGCCTCTGTCTTAACTACCGCTTCCTCGGTTTCCTCGTGTACGCTTGTCGGTGCACGATACCCTTGCGCTAAGCTCACGCAAGGGTGTGCCCCGTTACACCTGGTAGCACTTTGTAGTCCTTCCAGCGACCACCTACACATCATCAACCATGAACATGTTGGATGATGAAGAAACCTTTCACGCCATGCGTGAAGGGTTTACCCATTTGAGTGACATCGAATGGAGTGCGGTAGAACGAATGAGTTCTACCGTAGGCGAGTTCGCCATTAGCGCCATGTTGGAGTCTCTAGACAGAGACCAACAACATGCCGCTATAGCCAAGTTCATTCAAAGTGAACTTGTCGCCGAAAGGGAGAAAGTAGCCTTGCTTCACCAGCAAGGCTCTCAACAGGCCGAGCAGTTGAGAGAACTCGGTGCTCAACAGACAGAGCTGTTGAGACAGCAGCAATTCCATGATGCTGTGGGCGGGACGGCACATGCGCGTCGTTCCGAAGTCATGAAAGTTGACTTCTCCAAGTACAGTGGAGTCCCGGAGGACTCCCTGTTACTGTGGTTCGTCGAACTCGACAGAGCCTTAAGGGCTCGTCGCGTCGAAGATGAGCAAATGAAACTCACATTTGCTCAAACCCACTTGGCAGGACGTGCCAAAACTTGGTCCCTGGGGCTCGAGAGTAGCGACCCACATGTGTTTAAGTCGCTAGATGACTCCAAGGCCAGGCTCAGACAAACGTTTGAGCCGCCACGGGCTGAGTTCAGGGCTCGTTCAGAGCTACTGAAACTCAAGCAGGTTAAGCGTGATGTGCATGCTTACGCTCAACATATACGACTCCTCGCGAGTAGTATAACTGCCAACCCAGTTCATGAACACACGTTGATTACAATGTTCATGCAAGGGCTCGCAGAAGGGCCCGTCAGGAGCCACCTGTTCCGCCTTGAGCTGAATACGCTTGAAGAAGCGATATCAGCCGCGGAACAGGAAGACTTTAGCATGAGACAGGCTCATGCTAGCTCAAACTCTTATCGTCCACCGAGACGACAAGAGATCGGAGGTCCAGAACCAATGGACCTCTGCTATGTTGAGAGCGAGAGATCTCGCTCTTCAAACAACAAGCGATTGCACTTCTGCAATCGCTGTCAGAAATTAGGGCACTACGCATATGAGTGTAGTGCTTCACGCCTAGTACCAAACAGTACTGAGCGAAATGGACGGGGTCAGTAGGGGCGGAGCGCCCTACTGATCCAGCAACC